TGTGGTGAACGTATTCGATGAATGTTTTAGTTTGCTAGATGTGCCAGAGACAATGCTAATCATTTTACGTGCATCAGATCCTCCTTGAAACTGTGGGAGGTAGTTAAAAAAATGCTAACTCCACTTTTCTTGGGAGGAAACTGAAGTTGAAAGAAGTTGAAGGAATTTGGCAGAATTCATGTAGCTGAAGAGTGGCACGTCTCAGGCACGGACACAGCTCTTTCTGACCCTAAAAACATGTTACTCTTATTTTATTTGTTTACAAACATTTTTTTGTTCATCATTGAATACGTACAGAAGAATAGTCAAGATATACTAGTATAGTATAAAGATAACAAGATAGTGAACATGTGTATTCTCACTACAAGATAGAGTATTAGTAGTAGCTTCATAGCTGCCGTGTGCCCACCCAGTGCCTAGTGCCTTTTCTTCCTCCAATATAACGTCTATCCTGAAGTTAATGTTTATCATTCTCTGGGGGAAGGTTTTTTTTTTTGTTTTGTTTTTGTTTTGTTTGGTTTTTTTTGAGTTCTTATTTTAATTCCAATTAGTTGACATACAGTGCTATATTAGTTTCAGTTGTACAATGTAATGATTTATCGGTTCCATACAACACCCAGTGCCGATTACAAGTGCACTCCTTAATCCCTATCAGCTATCCCCCCCCCACCCGCCGTCCCCGCTGGGAGCCGTCTGTGTGTTCTCTATAGTGAGGAGTCTGTTTCTTGGTTTGTTTCTCTTTCTTTTTTCCCTTTGCTCATTTGTTTTGTTTCTTAAATTCCACATATGAGTGAAATCGTATGGTATTTGGCTATCTCTGACTTACTTCACTTAGCAGAATACTCTCCAGCTCCATTTGTGTTGTTGCAAATGGCAAGATTTAATTTTTTTGGCCAAATAATATTCCGTGGTGTATCTTCTTTATCCATTCATCAACTGATGGATGCTTGGGCTGCTTCCATATCTTGGCTATTGTAAATAATACTTCTACAAGCATAGGGGTGCATGTATCCCTTTGCATTAGTGCTCTTGTATTCTTTGGGTAAATACCCAGTAGCGCGATTACTGGATCATAGAGTAGTTCTATTTCTAACTTTTTGAGGAATCTCCACACTGGTTTCCACAGTGGCTGTACCAGTTTGCATTCTCACTAACAGTGCATGAGCTTTCCTTTTTCTCCGCTTCCTTGCCAACTCCTGTTGTTTCCTGTGTTGTTGATGTTAACCATTTTGGCAGGCGTGAGGTGATGTCTCATGGTGTGTTTTTTAAGTTTATTTATTTATTTTGAGAAGGAGAGAGTGTGTGGGAGGTGGGGTGAGTCAGAGAGAGAGAATCTGAAGCAGGCTCCACACCAGGAGCAGTGTGGAGCCTGATGCAGGACTTCAACTCACGAACAGTGAGATCATGACCTGAGCCGAAATCGACTGAGCCACCCAGGCGCCCCTCTCATTGTGGTTTTGATTTGCATTTCCCTGATGGTGAATGGTGATTGAACATATTTTTATGAGTTTGTTGGTGATCCCTGAAGGAAGGTTTTAAATATTATCCAATTCATTAAATAGATACTGAGTTATTTTGATTTTCTACTTTTAGTAGATTTCATAATTTATGTTGTCTTTTTAGAAGAATTTCACCTTTTCATTAAAGTGTCAGATTGACTTAAAGTTGTTCATAATATCCTCATATTATATATACACTTAAATTATCAGTAAGATCTAATGATGTCCCCTTTTCATTTCTGATAATGATAATTTGTGTTTTCTTTCTTTTTTCTTGATCAATCTTGTTAAGAGTCAGCTTTATTATTTATTTCAAAGAAATCGTTTTTCCTTTGTTAAATTTCTCACATATTTTTGGTTTCTTTTCATTAGTTTCTGTTCTTAACTTTATTATTTTGTTCCTTCTACTTTCTTTGTGTATGACTTGCTGTCCTTCCTAAGAAGAAAGCTGATATGATTTTTTTCTTCTACCATGTACATGTCAGGCTATATATTGTCCTCTAAGCACTGCTTGAGCTGCATCCCACAAATTGTGACATGTTATATACTATTGTTCAGTATAAAACATTTTCTAAATTCTATTTTATTTCATCTTTGATGCATAGGTTATTTAGAAGTGATAAATTTTATTTCCAGATAGTTGAAGATTTGCTAGCTGTGTTTCTAGGTTAATTCTACTGTGCTCAGAGAACCTACTCTGAATTATTTCAGTCTGTTAATATTTTTGATGTTTGTTTTATGCTCAGTGTATGGTTGATTTTGAAAAAAGATCCATGGGCACTTATAAAGAATAGGAATTCTATCATTGGGTGCAGTGTTTTATATATTTCAACTAGGTCAAGTTTATTCATTGTGTCTTTTATATACTTATATTTTTGTCACAGTTCCAACTATTGAAACCGAAGTATTAAATTTTCCACTATGCTTATAGATTTATTTCTCTTTTAGTTCCTTCAATTTTTGCTTTAAATATTTCATGATTATGTTGCTGAATACTTACAAGTTTAGAATCATGATATCTTCTTCTGAAGTTATCATTTGTATGTGTCATTATGAGCCATTCCTCTTTATCAGTAAAAACGTTCTTGGTTTAATGTCTACTTCATCTAATAGTAATAAAATTATATCACTCTTTTATGATTAAGATTGAATGGTGCATTTTCTTCAGCTTTTTTCTTTTGGCCTATCTTGTTTTTATATTGAATGTGTCTCTTCTAAGCAGGGTGGAGCTGGATTTTTAATCTGTTTTGCCAATCTTATTTATTTAATTGGCCTACTTCATTTACTTTTAGTGAGATTACTGGTATCGTTGAGTTTGTATCTATCACTTAACACATTTTTTTTCTGTTTAGCCAGCCCATTTCTTTTTCCCTCATTTTCACCTTCTTTTGGATTAATCAACTTACTTTTATTCCATATTTTCTTTTATTGACTTGTTAGTTATTCTTTCTTTACTCTTTCTGAAATTTTAACGCACACCCTTTGTTTATCACAGTCTTCTACAAATTTCTATTTTATACTTCCGCAAGAATTCTAGAACCTTAAAATCACTGTGATGTACATCTGAAATTAATAGGACTGTGTATGTCAATTAAACTTCAAGAAAAAAAGGAAAGAATTCTGGAAACTTAGAACATTTTACCTCCATTTAACCCCTTCTACGTTTTCATTTTGATTCCATATGAATGTTCAACACCATCAGACATTACAATTATTGTTTGGTGCAGTCAGCATTCACTTACATTAACCCACATTTTTACTCTGTGAGCTCTTCGTTTCTTCCTGTGTGCAGTGTGTTTCCATCTGGGGTCGTTTTCCTGCTGCTGGATCAGCACTCTTTAGTTTTTCCCTTAATACAGTTTGCTGGCAAATAATTCTGTCAGCTCTCTTTATAGGGAGATGTCTTTATTTTACCTTCATTATTGAGGAATAGTTTCTCTGAGTATAGAAATCTGTGCTGGGAGTTACTTTCCTCGGTGTGAGGATGTGTTTCCTCAGTGTTAATGATGCCAGTGCATTGAGTACTGACCTCCATTATAGATATTGAGACCTATCAACTATCAGCCTCTCCTTTTCTAGGATTCTAATTATATGTAAGTGGTTCCTTTTTAGCTATGACCTACATCTTTCTTATACTCTTGTCTGGTGTTTCCTATTTTTCTTTCCCTCTGGGCTTCACTTTGAATATATATATATATATACATACATATATATGTATATATATGTCATGTGTATCAATACACACACACACACACACACACACACACACACATATATATA